CCGCGGGGCTACAAATGTTGTGAGGCATACACAGAGTCGACGGTCATCATCAACGGCAAAGAATGGATCAAAAGCTTCCAGTAGTAGTGGTAGTAGTAGTAGTAGTAGTTGTTGTTGTTGTAGCAGCAGTAGTAAGAGTAGCACCAAGTATCAATAGCAGCAGTAACTGCTCCATTATTCTATCGCTGCCGCATCCGGCGCCTCCAATGTTCTACTTTTGCCACATGTGTCTTGTCGTTTCCGGCGCATGTCTGCTCCGCATGTTCTCTGATGGCATTCTCCATTCGTTCTTCTATTTTCAATGATAGGGTATATAATACGCTTTAACAACTCTATCGCTCTATGCCTGTGCATTCATTCTAGTCTGTGCAAAGATGAGGGCTCTAGGTTCCTGCATTGATATGACGTGACATGACAAAACAAAGTTGGAAGTTTGCCAGCTTGGCCGTGCTCTATTGCTTTGTGAGGTTGTGCAGCTGCGCCCGCCGCCGCAACGTACACCACCATACCGTGCTAAATTGCATCGCATCACATGATCTCACGAGGCCCCACCCGTTATGTGTTCATGCATCCAACTCTACAATGCATGTCGGGGCCTTGCCATAGAGATGCCAACCGCAACGTGTCATGTTCGGCTACACGGGCTCACAGCATGTCAAACCGCACCGCAGCGCTATCTTCACCTTTTTCGAACATGTATCAAGCCTTTGTATTGAGCAAGCGCGGTTCTTACAAGTTCCCACTTCATCAGGCCTCGCGGATGGCCTTGCACCGAGCCTGGACGGCCGAGGTTCGGGCTGGAGGAGTTTTATTGCGGGTTGCAGCTGCGACATGATCAGTCAGTCAGCGATGTTGGGGCACAAAGCCGAGGGTCGGATGTAGGGTTCAGGTGTGAAGCTTTCACAGGCTGGTTGGTGACTCAGGCTACCACCTGTGCTTCAGGATCGAAGCTGTACACGCAATATCGCTGTGTGCGGATAAACCACAGTCTGCTCCGGCAGAAGTTCAGGTCATGGTATACGACGAGAGGAGCCAGTTCTGCCCCTGGCTCTGCCTTGCGCCACTCTGCAGTGTATCGAACATACTGGCACTATCATAGACCGCATGACACTGCACTGATGTATGTTGTGCTGGGTTCTGGTGTGTTTTGCTGTCTGCAAAGGTATGCGATATTCCACACGGTAACTGAAGGAGGGAGATTGCCATCCAACTTTCAGAGCCTCTCAAACCCCAAGCCCCGCAACGCTCGATCCGCTCAGGAATGTCGCAACAGCCGGATCAAAGCTCCACATTCGGACAGCCACAATAGTTAGAAGAGGGCATAGCGCTCTCGCTCACCTTATGAAAAGGAAACATCAACGAAAGCCTATGGAAAAAAAAAAGCCCTAAACCCTAAACTCTCACTTACTGGTTCTCCAGGGCCCTAAAAGCAGGTAAGGAGCCGCTGCTTCGTCGCTCTCATCAAGGCTCTCCTGCAGGGAGTGTTTGGGGGTAGCTATAGAGGAGCCTGAAGTGGGAGCTTTGAGGTACCTTACACTTACACTGATACTTTATTTGCAATAAGGACGGGAAGAGGATAATATTACAGATTTCTCGACCCCTATAGTAGGCAGACAAGTAAGTGCATGTGGAGTGTAGTGTCCTGGCATTCGCGGGGCAATCAACTGATGGTGTGTTCACTTTAGCGACGACTGGACCGTTTCGACGAGGAGTGAGTGGTATGACGCAGGATCAAACTGTAGACACTTGCGTTTATGCTGAAGAGCCCAGGCGTGACGGAGCTTCTGTATTCATCTGCTTGACAGGATTTGGGTCTAGGCAAGCTCGGCCCTACCACCCTGAAACCCGGATCTTGAGCCCCATGACCTGATCCATCCGCAGTGACCTCTCAACGGGCCTGCAGGAAGACCTCCTGTATTGCGGCCGCCCTGGCAATGCGGGGACGAAGCGGTCAAGACGCACACCGTGCAAAAAGCAGCAAGAAGAAGAAGAAAAGGCAGTCACGAGGTGCCGGGGCTTTTTTGCTTCTCAAGGTGAAGCAAGGATGGGGGAGACAGGGGGTTGGAGGGGTGTGGATAGGGGTAGTTACGGCGGTCAGCATACAGTCATTCTGGACTATTCAAAAAATTACTAGTTCGACTGGGTGAACTATGTAATCAACAGCCAACTACCATGGAGGTTTAAAGCTTGGGGGTGAGGCTTGCCTTAAAATCCATGTCAGTTCCGCGGCAACCTGTGCAACGCTCCACGGTTGGTGCTGGAACGGTGGACAAGACATAATGTCACGATCTGAGGCCAAGATAACAATCTGGCCTTACTGGTGGTCACCTGATTACTGCAGCAGCGGGAGCGGCAGCAGCAGCAGCAGCAGTAGCAGTAGCAGTAGCAGTAGCACTAGCACTAGCACTAGCACTAGTACTAGTGGTAGCACTAGTAGCAGCAATAGTGGTCGTCATCACACGTACGCATGCGCGTGCATACCTACGTTGACATACGTACGTAGTGCTAGCAGCAGTGCTAGTAGCAGCTGTCTAGTCGCCGTCGCACCTGTGGTAGCAATAGCAGCAGCAGAAGTAGTAGTAGTAGTAGTAGTAGTAGTCGTCGTCGTCGTCGTCGTCGTGGTCGTCGTAGTGGTAGTGGTAGTGGTAGTGGTAGTATAGTAGAAGTAGTCATAAGTGAATCCATGAAGAACAAGGCAGAAAGAGCCAAATGAATAAAGTCATGAACGCTCCAACGAATCAAAAGGTCAGACGAAGGAATGAGATTAAAATTTCGTCACGTGACAACAAGCAATCACCAAAAGACGAGCGATGAGCCCCAAAACTTCTCGTTGGAGACCTCTCAAAGCGAAGGCAGCGACCCGGAAACGGTGTCGGATGTAGGGTTTACAGAACTTAGATTCAGAGGCATTGCTAGACAAAGTCCGGGGTTCGAAGCTTTGGGGCAGCCAGAAGCCCAAGGCCCCAAGGATCCAGGCCCAACTCAAAGTCTGCCTGGTCCTCCTCAAGGGGTTGCCAAAGGCCAGGCAGTCGGCAATGGCCTCGCAAGGGGAACGTAAAAAAAAGCCCGCCTCCCTTCCCGGCACAATCAACGTCTAGTGCGTCGAAATTCAAGCAGGCAGTGCCCCTTCGATGACAAACTGAAGAGCTGGAGCTCGGTGTGAGAGAGACGGTGGCCCACGGACAAACTCAGAGATGGAGCCACCCTGTGCCTTAGGTCTTGGGTTCCCCCGAACCCCACCGAACCTGCCCCCCGGAATGGCTGTGCGCCTCTGCAGCCAGAACCAGCACGGGCAGAGCCTCCTCCACAGCCTCTGCAGGCGGCATTCGTCCCCAACTTGGGAGTGCCATAAGGGTTGACTTCGTCGAAGACTACTATGAGAATACTGGGAGGGTATTGTAAGCGCACCAAAAACGGGCGCTCCCAAGAGGACATGAACCGATCCTCTATGCCATACCCGCGCCTCCTCTGGTGAGAGGAGGGCCAGGTGTGAGGTGGCTGCTCGGCACAGGGATTCCCGCATGGCGAGAAGTCGGAGGGCCCGGCAATCCCGGCGGATGAGCTCTCGAAAGCGGTTTGGACTTTTCGTTGAGGGCGATTGATGCGTTTTGGGGGGTGCTTGTCTATGACTCATGTGGGCCTTCTGTCAGGGGAAACTGCCTGGAGCCAAGCGGCTTCCTGTTGCACAGACATGCATGCAGGGCCGAGGGCGCGCTTTGCCCTGAAACGGTTGGGAGATTTGGATCTCGACCAAGATAAACAGAATAGACATGGGCCAAGCCTGGGCTCACGGCTCCAGGCCAAAAGCAAAGGGGTGCAAACACAAAGCTGCCTAAGGGACCCAACAACTAGAAGGACTGACTAACAACAGCAGCCGCAGGTTCAGATGTCTCCTCGAAAATGGGGGGGGGGACCCCAATACAAACCCGAAGTAGGATCCTTTCTAAACTGCCCGTGGATAATTAACCGAAGCTTTGAAGTGGTTTAGGGCCGACAGTGAAGAAAGCCAGGGGGTCAAAAAAGCGCTACCGCCTGAAGTAGCCGAAGTACGAAAGCCGAGCTTGGGGTTTCGGGCTTCGGAGCTTCGGGTTTAGGAATTTTCGGGCTTAGGGTTTGGGGGTTGGGGACCAGGTGGTCCCTTAAACCCAAAGCCCTGGGGACCTTCTCTCATCTTTGCCTACACCGGTCGGGTGGTCGGGGTGAGACATTGAAAACGGGGCAGGTGTTTCAACCTGCAGGGCGCAATGAGGCATCCCGGGAACTACCTTATTTCGGGTTCAGGGCGCTTTTGTTGTCCTTTTTTGCTGCCTCCCCTTTTCCTCTGGCAGTAGGTACATGCTTTTGGAAGGCCGATCAGGCTGAGGCATAGGGAAGGACCTAGAAGAGGGGATTCACCACGAAACACCACACGGGGGGGTTTTAGAGCTCGGGGTTTGAAACCGAACTTTAAGCTGACGGCTTCACCGGAGGCAGCAAGCTCGCCGGTCGCTGCGACACCTTGCGCTTCGGATTCGCCAGGGCCACCGACTGGCGCCTCCGGTCCGAGGCTTGGAAAAAGCTTACGGGGGCCCACGCCTACATGTCGGAGTTCGGACGAACCGATTGTCTAACAGCCTCCAGACCCCAAAAAAAAACTTAAAGCGCAAGTCAAGTCAAGCTGCGGTTTCACGCTTTGCCGCTTCTTGGCACGGGGCTGCTGCAGCTCCCTGGCCCAAAATTGGTTTGCTTTGTTAGACAGTTTTTGGTGTAGCTGCAGCTATTAGCCTTACTTGTACTTCACTCGAAGTTGTTACTGTTGGTGTTGCTCCTGGAGCTGTTTCCTGGGCTATTGCTACGAAGAGGCACGCTGCTACTGCCACCACCGCTGGGGTAAGCTGCCACTGCTTCTTATCTGCTGCGTCAGTCTCGTGAGAAACCGGAAGAAGCCATCACCACCAAGATCGTGGCATCACCATCGACACCGGCAAAGATGTCTAGCTGTAGGATCCTGACAGGCTCTCACAACGGCTGAATGCCGCCATCACCGACGCAAGCTGGGCAATGTAGCTCTTGACAGGCCGTGTTCTCCGCACTTTGGTCGACCCCCAAAGGCAAACGGCCGCAGGCCACAGCAACAGCAAGACAGGGAAAGATCCAAGGAGCAGATAACATCCTATTCTAGACCTCACCAGGAAGCTACAGTGCCAGCTACGAAATGTCAGGATTCTTAGGCCCAAGCACCCAGGAATCCACAGCAAAATGAACTGTCTATGTCGACCCGCGACCCACCACGCCTGAGCCGCCAAAGCATCAACTCCTAACCCTAAAGCCTATATCCCAAACCTTCAGCCCCTAACCACGCTCCACAAGAAAGTAGATTGAAACCTGAACCCTGGAAACGTGAGGTCTACAAGCAATGTATTCACCTTATTGTTGTGGGGTATCTTTCCCCTCCGTGCACATGGACTTGCAGGGGATACTATCATACTACCTAGCAAGATGCAGTTCGATTTAGACATTCTTTCGACTCCTATCGATTTGGAAATTCTTTCGACTCCTATGTTACTAGTAGGTGGCTGAAGAAAGACCCTCGGCACTCGGAGCTCGAGGCTGCGATGCAAGCTCTAGGCCCTGTGGGGCCCTGGCTCGATCTCCTGGCTTTGTCTGGGTTTAGAGGTTTCGGGTTTAGGGTTTAGGGTTTGGGGTTCGGGCTTAGGGCTTGTTGGTTTAGGGTTTAGGGGTTTAGGGGTTTAGGGGTTTAGGGTTTGGGGTTTAGGATTTCGGGCTGGGCCTTGGGTACGGCACAGGTGTATACAAGGTCGGGGAGCGCAGAGGGGTCTCCCATCTATTCGCAATGTGGGCAAGGCCTCTAGGCTTGAACGGAGCCTGCGAGAAGTTCTGCTCCTAGGTCCGGTTGGCAATGCTTCTATGCGAATTTCGCGATGTGGGCAAGGTTGTCCCCAAGCCTTGATTTTTCAGATCCTGCGAGACTGCAAGCCCCACACCCCAAACAGGCAACCAACCGACCGACTAAGCTTCGCCTGTCCCAGCCACTGCCAAGTTTAAGACACAAGGAAAAGGTTTCTCCTCGGAAAGTTGTGTGCAAAGGCGGGGAACACCTGGAAGAACAAAACAGGAAACTCGCAAGAGCTCTCTCTTGGAGTTGGGCACTTGAGAAGCGGAGCCCTCTAAGCCCTGAGCTTCAAACCCTAAGCCCTAAAATCCTAAGCCCTAAACCCTTTCGAATCAGAACCAGGGTTCTGGGGTTCATCATAGCATCCTTCTCAAATAGCATTGGCAAGTGCTCAAGCTTCTATAGTGAATCCTAAGGTCCTAAACCCTGAAGAAACCGCATATCCTTATAGAACATTTATGGGGCCACCGTAAGGAGCCCTGAGGAAGACTGAACAACTGCTAAACTGAGGACCCAAACAAACACCTAAACACAACCCATAAGGTTGGGATGTTAAGTAAGCCCAACAAGCAAGGATATCCCACCCAAAAGGACAGTCAGTTCTCTAAACTAGCATCCCATTTAGGGTCCTTTTTATAACGGTGTCGTAGGGGACTGATAAAAAGGGACCCTGATTTGGAGAACTACCCAAAAGTCCAAAAAGATGCTCCTGTCATTAGTATTATTATTACTACTATTACTAAAATTATTACTATTATTATCATTATTATTATTATTGCTATTATGATTATCATTATTGTTATTATTATTATTATATGCTTTGGCCGCCTTCTCCAGGTCTTCGGTCTCTTCCGCGACCCGGGCTTGCTCGCGACGGAGCTGCTCCTCTAGGCTTCTCTCTCGTCTGGTTTTCGAGGGATGAGGGCTTGGGGTTTAGGGTTTAGGGATGTTTCGGGGTGTCGGGCTGTTGGGGTTGAGGGCTTGGGGTTTAGGGTTTAGGGATGTTTCGGGGTGTTGGGCTGTTGGGGTTGAGGGCTTCTTCGGGGTTTGGGATTCGGGGCTTTAGGGTAGGGTTTAGCCTCGCAACTAGAGTTTTGGGGGGCCTTTTGGGCATGGCGAGTGGGCCAGTCCTGGGCCCCTCAAGGCTTAGAAGCTCTACCCGAACTTGCACGAAAGCATAGAATCCACCCTCGAAGGCTCTTGGCTCTTTAGATCCGAAAACTGAATGGCGAAAGCTCGAGGAGGAAACTCCAAGACACTCCGAAGACTTCGAAGCCACAAAATCGGAGAGTCTGAGCCTCATGAAACAAAAAACGAAAAGCGCGCTCACTTCGACGGAGCTAAGAGGTCTTCTTGGGCTTTTGGGAGAGAGCGGTGGCTTGAGGGAACTCGTGAGGGGCGCCTTCTTGGCCAGGAGTGGCTGGGTCTCCTCAATGAGATGCCGCAGCTTCGCCACACGCTCCTGCGCTCTTTGCGGCCTCTCTGCCACCGCCACTAGACTTGCTACTCCTACTCCTTCTGCTGCTGCTGCCTCCAGCGCCACCACCAAAGCTACTCTCAGAACTAACAGTCGTGTCTACTGTAACATGTGTGCTAGTGGTGAGATCCCCTTAGAGTTCCTAAAAGTGATGCTCGTGCCAGAAGCCCTGTTCTAACTCCCTAAACCCTAAACCCCTAAACCCTAAACCCAAATAAACCCATTAAGGTAAGCTCGGACCAACAAGAACAACACGTTGGCGCCTCAGCAGCTTCCGTGGGCTCTGCGAGGGAGTTTTTCATCCTGGCTTCCGGTTTTGAGCTGTTGCTAAGGGTTTAGGGTCTTGGGTTTAGGGCTTAGGGTTTAGGGGTTTGGGGTTTAGGGATTAGGGTTTGGTTTTCTATCAGTGTCCTCTATTGGGCTCCCTTCGGTGCAACAGGGCTTCCTCTATGGCTGAAAAGGGGCAGCTTGACAAATGAGGCGTGGATGATGAGTAGGAGAGCTCATAAGTTCTAAAAGCAAAGCCTATTCTTGGGCCAAGCATCTCATTGAGCTCGTTCAGGTTCGCTTGAAGCTGGTCCACCTCAGCCTGGGCATTTATGGCAAAGAGCATTCCCAGAGTTTAACGTTTCAGGATGTTTCCGGGATCTAGAGTTTCGGATTGGTGGCCGAAGATTCTCTGCTGGGGCAGGACGGCCGGCAGGAACACACATGTCTGCAAGGACCTTGATGCTTGCTTCGGGGCTGAGCCTCGAGGATCCGAGCTTAGCACGTCGGGCAGAAGGGACGCCGACTGCTTGGGATAGGCATTCTATCAAGCCGGGATGATGGCATCATCCCAGTCCCCGGGTCACCTTGAGAAAGCTGGCAAAGCTGCATGAAACCTAAAGATCCTCAAACTGGAAACCACCAAGAGCCCTGGATCCCTTCCCTGAACCAGAGGAATCAGCAGGATGCACCAGCTTGTATACTCTCCATCCGAAACGCGAGGACGCAAAAGCCTGTCCCCCGCTCCCTGAGACCAGAAATTGAGCTCCGACCCTAAACCCTAAACCCTAAACCCTAAACCCTCCACCCCGTAGACCCTGAGCCCCGTCCTTGAGCTGTCGTTTCTCGGCTCCGAAGGGCCCGTCCTCCGTCTTCCGGCCGATCTGGGCACTGTCCAGCTCTGATGTAGGAGACTTAATCATCAGAGTTGGGTTTTGGGGTATGTTCTAGCGTAGCAATCATTAGCACCAACAAGGAACGCTAAGGAATAATATGTTGGTGGTTATTCTGGCTTCTACATTGTTCGCAGTTTGGGTTTTGCAGTACTGGGCCGTTGGAGTTTGTCATGGTGTCCTCTCTCGCTGCTACTTGTGGCCGGCTCGGGAGACAGCGTTTATCACACGAGCTGGAGTAAGCTGGGGTGAACTGTCGAAGGCTTGAAGGCTGAGGACCACATGCTGCTACTCTTGCTGGTGATAACGACACTGGCCATGATGACCAAGTTTAAGCTGCTAAAAACTACGACTAAAACCAGGACAACGAGAATGAAGGACTATCACAGCGTGAGTGATCGAGCACGAGGACGAGGACAACCACGACTACGACGAGAGCGAGAAGCACGAGCATGGTGATGATTATAATGACGGTGATGATTGATCATGGTGCTGGTGATGTGATGATGATGATGATGGTGGTGATGATGATGATGATGCCAATGATGATGATGATGATGATGATGACCATGATGATGATCATCATCATGATGATGGTGATGGTGATGATGATGTTGATGATCATGGTCACGGTCATGATCATGATCATGATCATGACGACGACGACGACGACGACGACGACGACGACGGCGACGATGAGGAGCATGATGACGATGATGATGACAATGACGATGATGATGGGGATGATGAAAAGGGATAAGGAGGAGGACGAGCAGGAGGAGGAGGAGGAGGAGGGGGAGGGGGAGGGGGATAATGCCAGGCCATCACAACTTTGATTCTGAACACAGCAAGATCATGGACTGCACTGAAGCCTTAAGTCTGAGGATGAACTGCTCTCACCCTTCAGTCTCCAAAACTCCTGCACACATGCAACTGCTTCTGCTGAAGTTTTGCTGACTGCTACAGGAATCCGGGCCCTACTTCTCACCTGTGCTTGGTCACAAGAGCACTGCATGCAGCAACGGACTCGAGACGACTTCATTTCTCTAGCGCCTGCCACGAACATCCGGCTCCACAATCAGCAGCGGTCGTTTTCGGCTGCGGACAGTTACAGCTACAGCCACGACCACTGCAACGACAACAATACAAACAGCTCCCACTCCTGCTCCTTCCTACTCCTACTCCTACTCCTGCCGCTAC